ACCTTAATTGTGGACTCTTGTGATAACCATAATACCCAGTCCCTCATCTGTTTCAGTGCAGTATACACAATTTATCCAGTTTTTCTCAGTCTTACCCCCACCCTGATATCAGTCCCATTTTACAGCAGTGGCACCATGCAATATTTGTCCTTTTGCGACTGAGATATTTCACTCAGTATAATATACATTCCTTTTTTAAGAGAGGTGGAGCTCCCAATTTGTAGCAGGCTTAGAAGCAGGAGTGGCATCCACTTCCAAAATAGCTTACCTCTGAAAACTCTGACGTTGGAGAAAAGATGAAAGTTATACATACGTGTTCAAGACTTTTGATTATAGGGTGCTATGAATCCTCTATGACTTGACAGCACTTAACAACATTTCAAAATTATTAGAATGAGCTTGTCAATTTCCACATAAAGTCTGCCTAGGATTTTGATTGGCAATACATTGAATCTGTGGTTTAATTTAAAGAAAACGGAAAAAAAATATACATAGTGTTTGGAAGTATGTCTTGTTCAAAGTGGGCCCTTAAATAAATGTTAACTCTTAGAGTTGCTGTCATCTTTATTGTATCGAACCTTCCTACCCACAGTCCTTGGAAATGGACATCATGCTCAGAAAAGTGGAGAGCCAGTGAAGGAGGAGAAGACCCTCAATGAGATGGATTGAAAAAGTGGCTGTAATGGTGGGCTAGATGGAGTATGTCAGAGATGATGAGGATGGAAAGGATAGGGCAAGATAATCAGAGCTGTTCTTCACAGGGTAGTTAGGCGGTATAGTTAACTTGATGGCACCTGATAACAGCCTGATAGATGGAGAGGGGATTGAAATTGTTAACAATTTTGGCTTGGTTGGTGCCACAATCAACACTCTTGGCACTAGCAGTCAGGAACTTGCTGTCAGAGACCTTTCTAAAATGATGAAGAGCAATGCTGTCAGTCTAGTGACTAAGGTGTGTCTGATCCAGGCCATGGTTTTACAATTACTTGAGCTGAACAGTGATCAAAGAGGACAGAAGAAGAATCAATGCTTTTGAGTTGTGAAGCTGGAGAAGAGCATTGAACATACCTTGGGCCACCAAGAGAACAAATAAGTCTGTCTTGGAGAGGGTGAAACCAAGTTTCACCTTGGAGGCTAGGATTTTAAAACTCTATCTCACACAATTTAGGCATATTACCAGGAGGGACAGTCCATGGAAAATGACATCATGCTTGGAAGGCTGGAGGGACAGCTCAAGAAAAGAAGACCCTGGATGAAATGGATTGATACAGTAACTAGGGCAGTGGGAGTAGGTGTATTGGAGTCAGTGAGCCTGTCTCAGGACAGGGCAGGCTTCAGAACTGTTGTACATAGGGTTGCTATGAATCACAGGCAATTCAACAGCACATAACAACACAATCACTAAATGAACTTTGATCTTTATGCATCTGCTTACTCTAGATAAATTGTTTAAGTGGGGTTGTATATTTTTTTGGCCTTTTGTGATTGACTAATTTCACTCACTATAGTGTTTCCAGTGTTCCTCCATGTGATCGCATGTGTCAGAACTTCATGTCTCGTTATTGCTAGATAAATTCTATTGCATGTACACTCTATATTTTGTCTATTCAACTGTTTACGGACCCTTGCATTGTGTCCACCTTTGGGCTGTTGTCAGAACAAAAGGAGCACTTTCGTAGAGCGTGTTCCACTCTGTACCCCTCCTCTTCTGTTCTGCCTGGCTTCTGCATAAGGGCCACTTACTGCCCTACTGTTGTTGGCAGTTGTAAACCATCACCCCTTGTGTTGATCGTAGGAACCCTAATGTTTTCTTGTGGCCCTGACAGGATATTCGGTGTTGACATCAAGGGCAGAGACTGTGGTGATGAGGCAGCTCAGTGGTTCACCAACTTTTTGAAAACGGAACCCTACAGGCTGGTTCAGTTTGAAACCCACATGAAGGGAAGACTGTCAAAGAAAATCTTTTCTCCTACTCTACCAGATTATGAGGTGAGTGGATAGAGGGCTTTCCCTCACTTCGGTAGACACCCTTCTTTTTCTGGCCTCTTTCTTGGCTGGCAAAGTGTCTTCCTTGGGAAACCAGTTAGGAAATGTTGCAGTGGCCTGCGTGAGTGGTCACAAGGACACACCTTAGGCACAGGGTCCGGGGATGGTGAGGGAAGAGAAAGAGATTTCAAAAAAAGAGCTTCTGGGGTTTGCATATGCAAACTATTCAGCATTCGTTTTTATAAATAAGGATTTGATTGTGAGTTAGATTAGGGTTGAATACAGGAAATACTGTGGAAGGGGAATTGACAAGGACTACTCCTTGGGGGTCAGTTCTGAGCAGCCAGGTCCACTGGGATCTCAGAAGGTGTGAGAGACGACGATGAGAAATTTTGTTTGGGACTGAATCTAGGCACCTTCGAAATACACAGCAAGGGTTTCTGCAGAGTTCTTCTTTTGCAGTCAGTGTGATATGGTTATTTTAGGTGCTGGAAAGTGCCTTAAAGTCTCCTAAAGACCACTGCCTTTCCCACCAATTAGGACCCAAAACCACCTTAATTCTGCATTGACATATAGCATAAAATTCTTCCAAAGTACCTTATACTCTAAGCTCTTTGAGAGCAGGCTTTTGTTTTAAAATTTATGATTGCTTTATTTTATCCAATTTCGGCAGACTTTAGAAGCACAGAGGAAAGCCAAAAGACATGGGTATTTTTCCAAACTGGGTCCTCTCATATTGCTAACTTCCTCACTACCCGGGCTCCAGCACTACCCAGTCTGAGAGGATTGTGGGGTTCTGTGGTAAGCTGGGTTGAATGTGCAAGGCATGTGGGAGCCCCATGGTAAATGCTGGAGGACGAAGGGCAGGAGGTAAAAATGAATGGCAATTGGTATATTTCAGCCCATTGTTGAGGCTCTTGGAGCAATCAGCCGGTGGCTGCTTTCAGAGATGTTGTGTGATTGTTGACCCAGTCATATCCAAGCCAAATTTTCTTTGTCTGCTTTAGGTTTAAGGACAGGCATTTTGTTGTCTTGTTCCCTCTTATTTCCTAGAGCAGTGGCTGGAATGTGGCAGGCCCTCCATAAATATTTGTTGAGTGAGTGGATGATGCTTAAAGTAATTATTATTGGAGCATAGCTGACTGGTGGCACAGTGGTTAAGCGCTTGGCTGTTAACAAAAAGGTTTAATCCATAAAAATTACCTGGGAAACCCTGTGTGGGCAGTTCTACTCTGTCACATGGATTGTTAAAACTGACAGATTGTTGAATGCTCAATTGCATTTAACAACAACAGAGCTGGCTGGCAGCAGGCCCTTCTGCTATTTGATGGGATGTGGGAGGCATTCATGGATTGAGGACAAAGAGAGATGAGACCTGTGAGGCATTGCTGGCAAGCCCTAACAGATGCCCCCAGCTGAGTGTGAATAAGGAGAGCCCCATCAAGGCTGCTCAGCCGGCAGGGCCATGTCCCTGGGCTCACCAGCTGTTCTCAGTCAAATATCACCCTTTTTGCACTTTCTCTCTTCTTTTGTGCTCCCAAGCTTTTGCTCTGGACTTTGCTAAGCTTCACAGTTTGTCTAAGACATTTCCAGAGGCAGTGAGGCCTGACTGTGTTGTGTTTCTTGGTCAGGTGGCCTACCCAGACTGCAGCCCAGTGTTGATCATCTCAGAAGCCTCCCTGGCAGATCTGAACACCAGGATGGAGAAGAAAGCAAAAATGGAGCATTTCCGGCCAAACATAGTGGTGACGGGCTGCAGCGCTTTTGAAGAGGTAAGCACCCTTGTGTGTTCAAGGTGCCAGGGGAGCTCCCATGTCCTTCAATGTGCCAACTCAGACCTTCCTGGGTTTCCTGTGGGGAAAACTTGACTTCCTTAAGATTCCTCCTATCCTGCCTTTGTTCCAAGCTACTGATACCATCTCTTTGCTGACCCAAGGAGCACTGTTCATCAACAAGTCTGAGGCTTTGGTTCTTGAGTTAGTTGCTCTATGTATAGTTAGTTCCTACTTATAGGCAATTTATATATGAAACTCTGGTACCCTAGTGGTAAGTGCTGCCAATCCAAAGGCATGTGGTTTGAATCTACCAATTGTTCCACTAGAGAAAGATGGACAATCTTTTTCTGTGTGATTTAGAGCCTCTGAAAAGCATCTTGGAGGATCAGCTATGAGTCAGTTCCAACTTGATGGTAGGTAACAACTAATAACAAGAATGAAAAGGTGACTGTTTTCATGACAGTTGGTGTGTTTCAGCCTAATGTTGAGGCTCTTGGGTCAATCCACTTTGTAATTTTTGAACAGTTATACATATCCTTTTCCTATCTGCTAATTTGAAGGGAACTCGGGTAGCCTAGTAGTAAGGAGCTGTGTTGCCAACCCAAAGGCATGTAGCCAGAATCCACCAACTACTCTAAGGGAAAAAGATGGACAATCAATCTCCTTCTGAGCTGTTTGTTGTTGTTAAGTGCCACTGAGTTAAGTACAACCCATAGCAGCCCTATGAACAACAGATCTGAACCCTGTCCTATCCTGTCCCTTCCTCACACTTTCTGACACACTCAAGCCCATTGTGGCAGTCACTGTGTCAATCCATCTGATTGAGTGTCTTCTTCTCTTTAACCAATACTCCATTGTCCTTCTCTAAGAAATAGCCTCTCCTAGTGACATGCCCAGAGTATGTGAGAGGAAACTTTATCATCTTTGCCTCCAAAGAGCTTTCTGGCTTCACTTTTTCCAGGACATATCTGTTTGTTCTTTTAGCAATCCATGAGATATTCAGTACTCTTCTCCAACACCACAGCTCAAAAGCACTAATTCTTCTTCTGTCATCCTTATTAATTATCCAGATCTCAGATGCATAACAAGTGACTGAATCAGGCACACCTTAGTCCTCAAACTGACATCATTGCTCCTCAATAATTTAGAGAGGTCCCTGACTGCAGACTTTCCCATTGAAATATGTCCCCTGATTTCCTGACTGTTGATACCAAGTGTGTTGATGGTGGATCCAAGTAAGATGAAGTTGCTGACCATTTCAGTCTTTTCTCTGTCTGTCATGATTTGCCTGTTGGTCCAGTGATAAAAATATTTGTTTTATTGATGTTGAGATGCAGTCCATATTGAAGGCTGTATTCTTTGATCTTCTGCAGCAAATGCTTCAAGTCCCATCATTTTTAGCAAGCTAGGTTAGGTCAGCTGTATAATGCGAGTTATTGATGATTCTTCCTCCAATCCTGATGCCGTATTCTTCCCCATAGAGTTTAGCTTCTTGAATAATTTTCTCAGCATACAGACTGAATAAATAGATATGGAGAGAAGAAACCACCCTGATGCTCACTTTTTAAATTCTAAACCATGGTGTGTTCCCATGCTTTGTTCACACAACAGCCTTTTAGTCTAGGTGTAGATTTCTCAAAGTTAGTGATAATTTTGAGTTAGGATACATAGAGTCAAATTCTCTGAAACCCCCACTAGAGGGTCAGCTATGAGTCAGCTCTGACTTGACAATAATAATAACAACTATTTGCTAATTGCAGTAGTTGTATTGTGTTTTCATCAGTTCTTCCCAGGTTGATCCTCTTTTGTCCTGATCTTTTTATAGTGTTCATTGTCTTTACATTTTATTTCTTCTATCCACATCCATATTCCCCCAGTTACCCTCTTGTTTTCACAGTGTCCTTTTGTTACTGAGTTTTTTCACTCAGCATTATGAGTTGGTTATTTCTTGGTGCCACATAGAATTCCATTGTGTGAATGTACCATTTTTTTTTCTATCCATTCATTTGTTGGTGGATATTTGAGCTGTTCCCATTTTCTTGCTCGTGTAAACAATGCTGTGATAAACATAGGTGTGCTTATCTCCATGTGTGCTCTGATTTTATATTCCTAGCAGTGGAATATCTGGGCCATATGAGATTTCTATATTCACCTTGTTGGAAAAAATGCCAAACTGCCTTCCATGGTGATTGGTCTGTTTTACAAAGCCAGCAATAGTGCATGAGAGTTCCAGTTTCTCCCACATCCTCACATAGGGCTTTTAATTAAAAAAACCCACAAAACCAAATAAAAAACAACGCAGACCAAAACAAAAAACCACCAAAACAAAACCCACATTTTATTGTGATTTGAATGAAGGTTTACACAGGGAACAAAAATTTATTTTCTTCATAGATTTTCAATGGCTGATTTTTTTCAGAAGTAAATGTCCTTTCTTTTGAGGTGTCTCAGGCTATACTCTCCAACTGCTAACGTTCTGGGAAGCAGCTGACCCCACTGTCACTGTTTCTAACACTCATGTAGCTTCTGTTACCTGTTACCTCATGGCAGATCTGCTTCTTTCTTCCTGCACTTCTATCCAGCATTGTCTGGCTGAACCTCACATAATCATGGAGACATGAAATGCTTGTTGAGCACAGGTGACATTTGACCATCATCCAGTTCCAGATTAATTCAGGAAACAACAACTTCCTCTACACGGACCCTGTAATTTGTCCATTCTCTGATATTGAGTGTTTTTTGTGGAACATTAATTTAACATCCTGAGACAGGGATAAGAAGAAAATATTTTACTCATTAAAAGACGTATTGCGATGGGAAGGTCTGCTGTTAGGGACCTCTCTAAAATACTGGAGAGCAACAGTGTCTCTCTGGAGACTAAGGTGCATCTGATACAGGTCCTGGTCTTTGCAATCACTTGTTATGCGTCAGAGAGTTGCACAATGACTAGGGAGGATAGAAGGAGAATTGATGCCTTTGAGCTGTGGTGCTGGAGAAGAGTATTGAGGGTATCATGGACTGCTAGGAAAATAAACATTCATCCTGGAAAGGGTTAAACTGGGATGCTCCTTGGAGGCAAGGATTCTGAGGCTCTGTCTAACATACTTTGGACGTGTTGTTAAGGAGGGACCTGTCCTTGGAGAGGGACATCATGCTTGGTAGGGTGGAGGGACAGCGCAGGAGGGAAAGGCCCTCTAGGAGATGGATTGATTCGGTGACTGGGGTAATCAGGATGAGTGTGTCGGAGACAATGAGATTGGCACAGGACAGAACAGAGTTTAGGGCTTTTGTACATAGGGTCGCCATGAGTCGCAAACAACTCGACGGCACATAACAACAATAACAACAACATATCAGAATGAAGGTATTTAGTTTTCTTTAACTTGCGAAACTTAAGCCATGGTCTACTTTTAGGTAATTTAAATGGGCATTGTTTTCTTCTTAGTAATACAATTTTAAAATACTTTGTTTAAAAGTCCTTTCATTATTTTCTTCCTGTGTTACATGGCTCTTCTGCTGAGTTTATACATATAATAAGTGAGGTAGAATATCGTTATTTAGCACTGTTAATTTCCAGAAAGCATTCTATGGCTATGGACTATTGGCTACTAAAAAAACTTGTTATACAATTATGCTAATTTTGTTTAATTATTCCTCTCTGAATCAGAAAGTCCAATAGTAATGGACCAGCAGTTTCTGAGAAAGAAAAATAAGCAATCATTTTCTTGTACTTTTAAGCCTCTAAAAACCTGCTGGAGGAACATGAGTCAGCTCTGACTGATTGGTGATGCATTTGAACTTTGAGTAGTAAATATGCTTGATGGTAACATTGACCTGGCTACCTGGCACCATTGTTCAGCTTTAACTTTTTGAGTCGGTGGGACCCTGTTAAATTTCATGTCAATGATAATGTGCATAAATATTTAATAATTTATAATAATGTAATAAAATAATAATTTAATAAAATCAACTGACATAGCCAGGTGCAAAATTTCAAGCTTTTATCTATTGAAAAAAATATAAAGCAATGTAAAAATGTGTTGTGTAATATTTAGTCTTTGTGAGCCAAGGTACTTTGTACTTTTTCCAGATAACTTAGAACGTTTGCTAAATTTTAAAAGTTTGCTGCACGTTGGCCTGTATCACATGTTTGGATTCTGGGAAGGCCAAGATATGAGGTACTAAAAAACTCAAATTAACCAATGCTGCTTATCTCTGTTGTTAGCCATTGGTGATGTTATGAGTCGAGTATGACCCAAAGTGACCCTATGAACAAAACAGACCAGAATCCTGTCTTATCCTTTGCAATCCTCATTATCTCAGACCTATGTGAGCCCATTACTGCGGTCACTATGTCAATTCATCTCATTAGGGGTCTTCTATCTTTCACTGATCCTCTACTTTTCCAAGAACAATATCCCTTTCCAAGGAATAGTCTCTCCTTAGCAGCATGCCCAGATATAAGAGACAAAGCAACACCATCTTTGCCTCCAAGGAGCACTCTGGCTGCACTTTCCCCCAGATATGTCTGTTCTTGTGATAGTTCATGGGATATTCAGTGCTCTTCTCCAACACCATGACGCAAAGGCATCAATTTTTCTTCTTTTATCCTTCTTTATTGTCCAACTCTTAGATGTGTAGCAAGCAATTGAAAAGACTGTGGCCTGAATCAGGTACATCATATTCTTCAAACTAACATCATTGCTCTTCAGTATTTTGGAGAGGTCTCTGACAGTCAACTTGCCCAATACATCTCCTTATCTGATTTCTGCTGGTAACCAAGGGTTTTAATTAGTTGTTTATTGCCAAGCAGATGTTCTAGTCAAGATGGAATCAGTACTGCTGGTTTTATAATGCAGTGCTAATCTTGTTTTACAAGTTAGCCAGGCCCCAGACACTGAGATGTAATCCGTATTGAAAGCTATGGTCCCTGATCTTCTGCAGCAATTGCTGCAAGTTTTCTGCACTTTCAGCAAGCAAGGCTGCATAAAACAGGT